TGATTCCTCTATCTTGCTTTTAGGATACGGCAGAAAACAAAAAAAAATCAGCATGTGTGACATAAATAAGAGATAACGCAGTGTGGAGCTGGAGGAACACAGTACGCCGGGCAGCATCAGAGGAGCAGGAAAGTTCACGTTTCGGGTCGGACCCTTCTTGAGAAAGGGTCCCGACCCGAAATGTCAACTTTCCTGCTCCTCTGATGCTGCTTGGCCTGCTGTGCTCCCCCAGCTCCACACTGTGTTATCTCTGACTCCAGCATCGGCAGTTCCTACTATCTCAGCATGTGTGAGACTAAAAGTTTCTGTTACACATAAAAAAGCCTACAACAAAAAAAAAACACTACGCTGCAATACAGATTTTTACTAAAAGCACAGTACAGATAGAAAATAATCACCTTGAGCAAAATAATCCATCTTTACTTCCTGGATCAACAAACAGCTGATAAATAAAGATAGGCAGACTCCTCATTGCATTAGGAAACAAAGGATTCAGAACCGTGAAATCCTCCAGTATTTCTAGGATGGCTTCAAAAATCCTGATATATTCCAGATTTTAGAAGCTGAATTTAAAGTTTGAGTCAAATTTAGGATACACAGGCTTCAGTTCAAATCATAATGACATCAGCAGGGTGAAACAATCAAACAATTTGTTGGCAGGTGTCGACATAAAGATACAAAATGTGATTTCACTGAAGCTAACTTAGCAGAAATGCTTATGGAACTGGCCATTTCCACTACACCCAATAAATCTGTCAAAAAAGCACTTCTTTACAACAAAAACCAAGCTCTTTACGATTTCTTGTGGCAGAAGGTACATTCCTATCTCTGGCCTAGGTTCAAGTTCCAACTGCTCCATAGATGTGTACTAACACTCTGAACAGTTTGGTTTAGATATTTTTAATAACCAACTCACTGCTAGAAGTAAGATGCTAATTTGAAGCAATTGTAGCAGGACAGTAATGTCTGCAGGTGCTTGGCACTACAACAAATTTTGCAACTATCAACAGGTTAAACAACACATCCAAATCTTGTGGGTTGTCTTACCCAATAAAATGTTTCAATGTCCTCCTAACAGCCAGCATCTTGTGACATATGCAAACTATATACTATAAAAGGACATAGGACTAAAATGTCATGGAAGTCCAAAGACCCAGGGAAACTCAGAGTGCGACACCATGTCCCGCAGCAGCGTATGAAGATGAGTCAACCAAGGAACACTCAGAAGGATTTCCAAAATTCCATCCAAGGCACGAAAGCCTATCAGTAAATTCCAAGCAATATCTGCAATGGCACAACTTACAAACCACAGTCAGACTATGCAGAAGGTCATTCTGACACATCATGTGGACATCAACAGAAAAGCCAAAAGCTGAAGATCTTATTTTCATCCAATCACGGGAGGAATGGATAATATGCACTGATTGCCAAGACTGACACTGGTGCAAATGCAAAATAATCCTTATGCATTTTACAAGAGAATCTCAGGAAACTGGTGTGATATGATGCAGGCCATGCACAATTAGCTGTTTTCAATGGGTCTAACATCCCTTGCATTTATCCATCCTAAATGTCAACATGGGTCATTGTGATGGACAAATGAAATCTTTTCTACGTTTGATCCAGCAGGACCTTCTAATATAGTGCCACCAATATGCCCAGATCTACACTTTATTACAACCCAGGTGGTAACAAATCCATCACTTGCAATACCAAAGGTATCAGACTGCAGCATTGAGTCTATTCATAATCCTTACCCAAACAGGTGTGACACCAGTGGCAACTTTGTAGGCGACGCAGTTTTACATCTGAAAGATGACACCCAACCCAGTATTGACTCTCCTCATAAATGCAGCATTTGCATTCAGAAAGAACTCCAACTCACCTTTCACTCCATGGTACAATACAACATATTGTATTGTAACAAAGTTGAGCATCATAATGGTTGGTGCAGTTCCACTACTTGTGTTTTGAAAAAAATATGCGATCTGTATTTAGACCTAAGGTGTTTAAATACTGCAAAGAGATGGCCACTCAAGATTGATACCCTCATGGAGCCTGATGTTGTTATTAAATATCAGGCATTTTTCAAAGGGTTTCAAACCAAAAATGAGCCATACTTCTGTCACTCAAGTCCCAAGGGCTAACAACTTAAGAAGTATTTAGGTGTATACTTGCAATGCCAAAGTATACAAGGCCATGGGCTAAGTGCTTGAAAATGGGATTACATTAATTAGGTGGTTGTTTTTGACTTGTATGGACATGATGGGGCAAACGGCCTTTCTCTGTGCTGCAGATCTCTATGACTATGACTATAACTTTTAGAAGACCTTTCAATTGATATTGTTTCCTCAGATTACAATTTAGAAGATCCATCAGATGGGATCTATTCCAACAACAGATTGATTGGATCATTGAGACTACTAGATTGTCTCCAAACTGCAGACGACAATTGCAATTCTCAGGTCAACTATACTCGAGCATGACATAAACCTCCATTAACTCATGAAAACTGCAAGAAGACATGGTCTAATCTTCAATAGTTAAAAAAATGGTCACATCAACCTGAGCCAAATCAATTTCTTCAGTTCAATCTACTCGTTAGCTGGTAAAAGACATCGTTCTATCAAAATAGAAGATGTACATAAGATGCCTATATCAGACGACAGAGATGATTGACAAAAGTGTCTCTGGGTCTTTAACTTTTTAAATCATTGTATCCTTTAAATTTTGTGACCATTACACCTCCTTCCTGAGATCTTCTCTGCAAAATCCCACAAGACATATGGCTTATATCTCCCACAAGAAGATCACCAACATATTTTCAATCTCTCTTAAATGCTTTATCATCCAGCTGGTGTGTTTTTAAATATTATGATCCCTCAAAGCTTATCATGATACAGATAGTTGTATCATTGGACAGCAAACCAACTGCATTTGGTTTTCAAGTCATTAAGACTGCTCAGGCAGATTACTCCAACATCCAAATAGAAACATTTGCTCTAGTTTTCAGAATATAAGTTTCATATGTACCTATTAGCAAGCATTTCATTGTTCATATTAGCCAATACCTTTTAGAAATGATCTGGAGAAATCTTCTCACAAGTGCACCTCTAGAACTTCAACGATTACTTGTGAAGATGTAAGGATACAATGTAGAAGTATAAAACAAACCAGGTATCCCAATGGATATTTTCAATGTTTGTAGCCAACTGCCAAAGCCTAAAAAAAATTCTTTTAGACCTACAGGTGGATATTACTGAATCTGCATTAAAAGGCAGTCTTGGCATCAGTCTCATTCATATTGGACTCAGCTATTCAAAGCAGATTCACCAAGCTATGTCAGATGATAACCAGTTACGATAGCTCAATATGATCATCATCACTGGGTGGCCTGAATATGCACAGCAGATCTCCGAGTTAGCTTTTGTGTTCTGGTCATTCAGACACGAGCTCAGATTCTCTATGAATGAAATCTTCAAAGGTAAACACGTGGTAAATTCCTCGAGATCTACCTCAAAACATGCTAGATCTGGCCGAAAAAGGTCACACATTGCTGAAAAGAACAAACAGATTGGCACGTGAATCCATTTATTGGCCCAATATAAATAAGGACATCAATTAACTAATCAATTTCCGTGAAACCTAGCAACTGCAGAAACATAAAATCAAGAGAATGTCTCCTACCACACAAGATCCCTTCTGAGTCATGGTGCAAGATTGGCACTGATATTTTCCATGTCCAAGGATGCAATTAAATTCTGATGTCTGATGATTTCACTAAATTCTTTTTTATGTGACAAATGAAAGACACATCTAGTGCAACAATTGTTAATATATTGACTGCCATATTCAACATGTTCAGGATTCTTCAATAAATTGTGTTTGCCAATGATCGGCAGTACACCAGTGCACCATTTCAATGTGCATTTAGGAAATGTTGCACCCTCTTCTCACCATCCTCAGCTGAATGTTCTCACAGAAGCACCAATCTTACAATAAAATCCATGATAGGTAAATGTAAAGTGACTTGCCAGGATTATTAGAAGACCTCTCCTCAAGGCAGTAGTTTATCTTCATCAGCACCTCTCACGTTTGGAAGATAAATCCACACAGTACTTCCCTCCCACACACTCACCACATAACCACATATTCACATGTGCATGGTGCATTATTGGAATGAAGGGAGAAAATGGTATAAGCACAATCAATCAGCATGCAAACAGGTATCCCAACTTGAACTAGGACAAAACCAGAGATTTTCTGATGAACTCATGGGTTTGTGGAAAGACATGATGTTGTCATGTCCAGCACATGTCATATGTCTAAAGATAGTTACAAGACATTTTGCCTTCAGTCAGGCTCTCACTGCAAAGAGATCTGTGTTGTGTGTTCAGTCTGTCAGTTATGTGTATGTGATGTACAGTAATATCACCAAGCACAGAGCCCAGTCTGCAATATTATTGCAATGTAAGTAGTGTTGTTAATAAACTTCAGGACATCTGTCTCAGCGAAAATAAATGAGTCTTGTGGTATATATTATGTGAGCTAACATTTAGGGTAGTTCTCAGACCATATCATACTGGCAGTGACGTTTGATCTAAGCAAAAGAACAACCAACAACTAATTTGTAAGTGGTTGATAATCCCTTTAAAAGTGTTGATGAGGAGCCTTTAACTTTGTTATGTGGTTAAGAGAAGCTGTTGGCTAGAACACTGAGCTTCAAAATGGTGTGAGTGATGTCCAATCAGCATTGCACGGTGCACCTGCCATGGTTCCTTTGCTGTCAATTCATTATGTGCAAGCTAACAGCCTCACTAATAAAATGTTCAGCATGATTCTCCCAAAGGTGTGCTTATATACCACAAAGGCGTGCTTATGTACCACAAAGGCTATTTTTATCTTACATGGACAAAGAATGGATGCTATTCAATTTCATGCAGCTTGAGTATGGCAACATTTACAACAAATGGGAATTCGCAGTAAGCAATAACCTTAACTTTCCCAGAATCGTCTTCTTCTTCCTTTTTCTCTTCAAACTCAAAAGCAACCTGCATCCGTTGTTGCCTTTGTTCTTCCCACAAAGTTGGATTGAAGCTATCACTGTCCGAAGGGAATTCTACTGAAAAAACACGAACAAAAAATAAAAATGTTGCTCTGATAGACCACAATAAGTATTACATAAACTTGTAAAAAAGGTGATTTTTTTTCTCCAATCTTTTGTCCTTTGCTTACTTCTGAAGACATTGGCTGAAATATGCTGGGACACATGTAGTCAGGTAACATTCTTCTTGAAGCTAATGACTAAGGATGGAATGGCTCGTAGGTACTATGTAGTTGCTAGCAAGTCAAATGCTGGATTTCCAGCAACTTAAAAAAGGAGCATGAAATGCTTGAATGGAAAAGATTTCCATATTTTCATGAAAAGCTGTGATGTTATTAAAGTCATTACAGAACAATGCTATTTATATGAAATGACCATTATGACATCCTTAAAACATTTTGCAATGAACAAAGGATTTAAAGTAGTGTCCAACAGATTAGATTATTAACACGGTGTAGATAGGTGTCAGGTTTTATGTTGAGTTATGGATCCCATTTCTATAAGCTATGTAGTAAGGAGGGTATAGTGGTGTTAAACTGATATTCCACACTTTAGAAGTTTACATTCTCATTATAGCCATTTGATGGTCTTCATAAAAACTCTACTGATTTATCAATATTCTAACTTTTATGACTTAAATGTAACTCCAGTCCCAAAATATCTGATCTGATCTCAGGAGTGGGCAATAAATACTAACTTGTCTCAAAACCAAATAAAAAAGGCCTTCATTAAGTATCTGGTGGAAAGTGTGCTCCTAGTTGCCCTCTCAGTGGTATTGCTGGCGCAGGGGGTTGCTTTGTGCCTCCATTCTCAGCCATAGGTCAGAGTGGAAGAAGAAAAGAAATTGCGATGGATACTCAATTCAAGAGTTGTGAAATACTCTTATAACCAAAACTTATCCACACCTAAAAGATGAAGAGAGAGGGGTCATTTCACTGGGTTGAATGGAAGAATCAGGCACTTTATACTCTGGATAATAGAAGGGACCAGTGTTTTTGCCAATATGGGGCTGACAGGCACTCAAGATGCACTGGAGTGATTCTAATTCTGAAGCCTTAACGTTGAATCTGGTAGGATTAATTCTAGAGTGCACTAGCAGAAGCAATCTTGAGAATGATTGCTGGGGTCACAAACTGTGAATTGTGATCTTTCTGCTCCTTGGTCTGCAACCATAAACCTTGATCAGGTCGTTACCGTGTTGTATTTTTTGCATCATCTTGTGAAGGAACAAAGTGCATGCTTATTTTGCTAAAGACACTCTTTTCTTTCAAATAAAATCTCTCCCTAAATATTCCTTTTTCTGCTGAATTGTTAAGTCAGGTTAGGATTACATTCTACAGTGGTCACCAGGTGTCGGCAATCAACCAGCTATTATTCTCCATGTCATAGCCTAAAATTGTCAGCATCCATTTTAACAAGGAAATATATTAGCTAGGTTCAATTCTGCCATCACCTGGCATCTATCCATCTGTAATTTTCATCAGAAGGTTTCATCAGAAGGCCAGTAGAAAGTATTTAGAAACAGGAAAATCTAAAATTTCTTTTCGGTAACAAATTTAAGAATTTGAAGTCAAAGGACTCCAAGGTGTAACATGGGTTTTGATGAAAACCTGTTTTAGAAACAGGAAACAGATAATATGCAAGATTATCAGATTGTATGGAAAGGTGGTTGGAAGATATATGAATTGAAATCATGTGGAATTCAGGCTTTGACCCCTGTTATTTCTAATTTACTTGCTTAATTGAAATGAAATGTGAGCTTCTTAAGTTTCTAACTATCTAAAATCAGACCAGTAAAAACACACACCTAGAAAATCCATGCTATTTTTGAAATATGTACAATCAGGACAGACGAATTTTAGACATTATGAGGTTAAAGCTCGTTACATCATTTTCTGTTTCAAACAACATGCCCCCTCAAAGTTTTCTTGTGCTTTATGTTCCACTGTGATTCACTAGAATAGTCCGAATTATCTGATCTACAAATACTTATGATGAGAACTAGTGATGCTGATGCCCTGAAGTTCTGATATTTTACACAAAGGGAGTATTATGGTTAACTAACCTGGAGGTCACTGTGTCTTCAAGAGAAGGAGGAGGAATCAGCACAACAATACTAAATTATCTTCTCTCCTGACCACCAACCTGCACTGAAAGGGCATGATCACCAACAGCTCACTACAGTATCTCTGAAGGGTAATTGGGAGTGAGCAATAAATGCTGGTCTAATAAATTACGTCTACATCCTGTGAATGATTAAAAAGAATAAAGCCTAAAGCAGACTTTAGTTCAGACCTCAAGTTGGCATGGACTGACGAGCAGACCAGTTGCTTTATTTCAATGGTGAAAGGTCAGGATTAATGGAAGTCCTCCATGTATACAGATGCCTAAAATACAGCTTTCAGGTACAAAAAGTAATCGTATGGCTAATGGAATGTTAACTTTCATAACCAGAGGGCTAGACTATAAAGGAAAAGGATATCTAAGCCTAGATCACAATCTGGAATATTGTGAATAGTTTGGTGCATGGCTATACTGAAAGGTTTTATTGGCTTGGAAGGTGTATTACACGGATTCACCAGAATATTACAAGGGTTTAAGGATTAGATTGAGGAGTGATTACCTAAATTAGGTTTAAATTCTCTGGAATGCAGAATGTTAAAGATAAGGAAGCTGGAAATAATTAAAAACATAGATAGAGAACATTTCCACTGATTGGAATTCTAGAACAGGGGACATAACCCAAAAAGTAGTGCCGAATTATCCAATAATCATCCAATGATTATAGAAATATGGAACCATCTCCTGCAAATCAAGAAGTTACTGCTTCAATTAATAATTTTGTATCTGAGATGGATTTTTATTTGCAAGACATGATCATGAAAGGCCATGCGGCTGAAATTAAGATACAGAACAAACACATCACATCACTGAATAATGAAACAGATTCAAGGGGCCTAACAGGCTATTCGCATTTGTGTTCCTATTTTCACTGGCTTTGTCTCTGTTTTGGGTTCAAATCAGACTTCTTTCTACTTTCTCACAGTGTTAGCATTTTTCTTCATGCCTAAAGGTTTTTGTTGAGTTCAAGCAAAGGTTAAATGTATTGAACTGAGACATTAATGTTACATTCAGTGGCACTAATGAATCCATTTAATTAGGAATCTGTAGCATCTTCCATGTTGTATTAAATTTTGCTTTGGTTGAAATGAGAAGGTTAAACCAGGAGGTTCTCTTACCACTAAGTGAGCACATGATTTTAACAGTGTTTCATCCTTGTTGATACAGAATTTTTAGTTTCCATTTTGTTTATTTAATTTTCATGCATTGCCAAAATTGAGAACAATTTGTGAAAACTCTAATAAATGTCATCTTCTTATGGATTGTACCTCAAGATGTAAAACAGATGCAAAGGAAAAGTGAAAATCTAGCCCTACAGTGTGTCTTCTTCATATGAGAATTAATTTTTTTTGTTGGGAATTTAAAAACTGAGGAAGGAAGGGGACTAAAGAAAATCACTTCCTTATTAGAGGACTGCTGCGACAACAGATAAGGTCATCCTAATTTCAAACCGTAGATTCAACTCTCGTTTGACTTCAAACCCCTTCCAGGTGAGAAGTTTTGAGATTCTATCTTCAGGAAGACAATGTGCTGAATTTTTCAGAGGTGTTGAGGGTCTTGCCTGCTGGGATGAGAGCTGATGAGAGACCCACAATGCCTCTTCTAGGAAATCTGCTGACATTAGTGTGTCTTTCCTAGGATTAAGTGTCCAGAGGTGGAAATTGCACCAATTTAGAGCTTTTGGGCCAACAGAAGCTGGCAGCTCTTTTGAACTGCTGTGCCACTGGGAAGGCCATGGCTGCTGCCAGAATGACACCTGAGGTCCAGGTTCGTGCAGACACAGGTCAACGATAGCTCATAGCAGGAGAGGGTTTGTAGGACAGAGGTGTAGGGGGTCGGATCTCAAAAGACCCCTACCCCCTTGTTCTGATGCTGTCTCCCTTGATCAGGCACTTAATGCCTTTGAATGAGGGAATCACATGACCCCCACTGCAGAAGACCACAAGCAGGCTGTACAGTTTGTCCTGTATTGCACATTGCATATTGACAGACTTCCTGCCACTAGATTAGTATCAGTAGCAAAAGGCCCTTAAAGATCTCAAATGGCTGGGGTGGGGTTGTGTGTGGGTTTGTGTGTGTGGGGGGGGGGGGGGTTGGGGGGGGTTGGTGGGGGGGGGGGGGGGGGGGGGTTGGGGGTGTTTGCTGGGAGGGGCAGGGGGTGGTGGGAGTGATAGAAAGTCTGACTATGGGTGACTTCCTGCCCCTGCTTTAACATTGGCAGAGGTGGGATTGTGGCAGGGTTTAGGTATACTATCTACACTTCTAATTAGATGCCCTTTTTAACTTCAGATATTCCAGAAGGGAGGGCATATTTGATAGAACAAAAAGTTTACCTAAGTATTGCATGAATCATTATTGAGAGTAGGGCACTTCTATGAAGAATTACTCACAAATTAAAACTGTTTCTATTGGTGATAAAACAAGGAATGCTCTCAGTTTTTAAAGTACTAATTGCATAGATTCTCTGGATATAATCAGGGTACTTAATTAAAACTGATCACAAAATTAGATTATGTAAAAGTATATGTGGCAAGCTTCAGACAAAAACAAAAATTAGAGATTGGCAGGAACAGACTTTCTCCAAAGAAAACCTTAATATTTGAAACCTAATCCAAATAAACATGATTTTTGCTATTGTCAGAGACATTAGCCAAGGGATTATCAGCTTGAACCCTTAATGTTGCAGTCGGTATGTGCACTGTGCAGTGTGGAATTGACAACAAAGTTCTCTCACCTGATCTAAATGTGCTGATTTTAACATGGGGTAGCAATTGAGTTTCTATATTGGACCCTGATAACCCTTAATTAAGGAGAAGGACACATGATAATATATTTCTTCTGGAAGTTGAGTGAGGCCAATGTCAGACTTATTCTTGACGATCAACCCATAAACA